GACACATTCCAGCTTGTCAATATCTCTCTTGAATTGTGGTGCCCAGAATTGGACATAATGACTTTCAGTATTTCAAACTGTAGCAGCAGATAGGAGAAATAATATCAAGAGCAATCTTTGTTTTGAGGTCAGAAAACTACATTTATTTCCAGCTGGAACTTTGGCGTGGACTCTCATCCAAAAAGCAAACCAGAGTGAGGATAAAGGCGTTGATTTTGCCTTTTATACCATTTAAAATTTAAGCAAACAAAGAAACATGCTTCTACATACGTAACATCATCACTACATGATGATATCAAATTCTATCTTCCAACATGCAAGAGCCATGTCTCTATACTTTTTCTAAAGCAGCTCACATCCATCAGGGGCCTGTGCTAAGCTGTACCAGATCTCTCTGTAATGTATAGATAACATGCCCTCCTTCTCTTCCCCCTTTCAACACAGATCTCCTTCAGCATTCTTTCTGGCCTGTCAGCTCTGCTTTCTAACACAGAGAGAGCCTGATTTTTATTACATTTCAGTGCTGGTAAAGTACATACAATATATGTATAAATATATATATTGTCGAAGGCTTTCATGGTCGGAATCACTGGGTTGTTGTAGGTTTTTTTGGGCTATATGGCCATGGTCCAGAGGCAGTCTCTCCTGACGTTTCGCCTGCATCTATGGCAAGCATCCTCAGAGGTAGTGAGGTCTGTTGGAACTAGGAAAAAGGGGGTTTATATATCTGTGGAATGACCAGGGTGGGACAAAGGACTCTTGTCTGCTGGAGCTAGGTGTGAATGTTTCAACTGACCACCTTGATTAGCATTTGATTGCCTGGCAGTGCCTGGAGCAATCTTTTGTTGAGAGGTGATTAGATGTCCTTGTTTGTTTCCTCTCTGTTGTTGTACTGTTCTAATTTTAGAGTTTTTTAATACTGGTAGCCAGATTTTGTTCATTTTCATGGTTTCCTCCTTTCTGTTGAAATTGTCCACATGCTTGTGATTTCAATGGCTTCTCTGTGTAGTCTGACATGTGAGAGTGGTCCAGCATTTCTGTGTTCTGAAATAATATGCTGTGTCCAGGTTGGTTCATCAGGTGCTCTGCTATGGCTGACTTCTCTGGTTGAAGTAGTCTGCAGTGCCTTTCATGTTCCTTGATTCGTGTTTGGGCAATGCTGCGTTTGGTGGTCCCTATGTAGACTTGTCCACAGCTGTATGGTATACAGTAGACTCCTGCAGAAGTGAGAGGATCCCTCTTGTCCTTTGCTGAACGTAGCATTTGTTGGATTTTCTTGGTGGGTCTGTAGATAGTTTGTATGTTGTGTTTCCTCATCAGCTTCCCTATGCAGTCAGTGGTTCCCTTGATCAAGAACACTTTTCCTCTGGGTGGATCTTCATCTTTATTCTCGTGGCTTGTTCTTGGTCTTGCAGCTCTTCTGATGTCTGAGGTGGAGTATCCATTGGCCTGTAGAGCCCAGATGATATAATGATATAATAATATGATATGTAGATATAAATATATATATATTCCAATATCTCCCCATCAATTCAGACCTTCACATTCTCTGGGTGTTTTGGACTTCAGCTCCCAGAATTCCTGGCCATTGAAACAGCTGGGCAGAGCTTCTGGAAGTTGGAGGCCCAAACACCTGGAGGGCCACAGCTGTACAGGCCTGATCTAAAACTTCAATACAGAGGGAGTAACAGACAGAGGGACAAAGACAGAGGAAACTATAAACAATGGGAGAATATATTTTCAGATTACACCAATTGTTGTGGCTCAGCTGGAGCCTCAGGAAGAGCAGGAAGAGGATGATGGGTTTCAGATTCCTGAACATGTTCCTATTGTTGATACAGACAATGTTGATGCTGAAGACAAGGATTTCCAGTTTCCCGTGGGAAGGGATGTTGTCTTAGAAAATGTTTCTGGTCTTAGTAAAACTTCACAGGTTCAGGTGGAGGAGGTGAGCCAGCCTATGAGCTCTCTGCCTGCTAATTCTCAGGCTGCTGATTCCCAGCTCCAGGATAATGAGTTATTCGACCTTGAAGGCTCTGCAGATTTAGAGAGGGTGGATCGTTTGCAGTTCAGGGTTCACTGTAGTACAAGGCTTGCAAACAAGAGAGTGGTTAGAGGTCAAAGGAATGCTTTCATGCTGGGAAAGTATATTTAGTGAGCTGATTGAAGGCAACCTTTTGTCAGTGCAACTTCAGCGGACACCCTCATAACTTCTTTGGATTGCCTGGGCTTTTGGGCAATGCTTTTGGCTTCTTGGGACTTTGATTTGGATCTTGGCTTCTTGGGACTCTGTCATGCTGCCATGGAATCTTGTTTGATCAATGCTTATGGATTATGCTTGGAAACTCTGCCTTTGCATTTAAGACTCTGTTTGGCTATTGAACTTTTGCAACTTTACTTCTGTGTTTAAGATTTTGCCTTTTCTTTAATAAACTACAAAACCTACAGCCTTGGTGTGTGTGGTGTTCTGAGCAAGGTGATTCTATCCTGAGGTGTGACACCAATTGAGGATTCAGATTTAATGACTTCCATGCAAAACCAACCTATCTAGACTTTTCTCTGATTGATCACATTCACAAAATATCTCTGGGACACTTAAACTAGTAAGATATATTTTATATATATTGAATGAGGTATTCAGATACCATGGGCAGTCAATAAGGAACTCATCACGTGGAGCATTTTCCTCCATTGGACACTTCATCTCCATTTCAAGGCATGGAACCCATCACATGACGTTTGCCTACTTCTGGCTGTCATCCATTGCCCTTCATCCTTGAAAGGGAGATGAAGTGTGCTGAAAGGAGAGAGCTCAGAATACGGGCAAGTAATCATGTTCTGAGCCCCTGGTGCATGCCAGAACCATTGTGAATGCCAAAAAAAATATGTCATGGGATTTGACAGATTTGCCCATGTTGACTCGTTTCAGTAACATGGAGGAATGGGCGTTCCTCACCACTTTGCTTCAACTGCATTTTCTCCTTAATGACAATCTAGGTTCAAAATTGTGCTTTTGCTAGCGTTTTAACACAACATTGGTCTAATGGAGGGAAGAAAAGGCTAGTAGGAGGGGATTAAGCCAAAGAGGTTTAAAATTACATTGGTCTAATGAAAGGAATCACAGACGTGATGGTTGCAAAGGGTTTGTAATTACACTGGTCTAATGAAGTGAAGAAATGCATGGGAAAGATTTATCATGGCAAATGGATTTAAAATTCTTATCCCGCCCCCCAAATGGAATGAGAACCATTGTAACCTTAACTTTTGATATTGAAGTTTTTCCTGAGGATTCTCCATGTGATGGTTTGAACATGGGCAACAACAGGAAAAAACTGAAGAGGGAAACACGTGTGATTGGAAGACAGAACTTGAAATTGTATGACCGGGGATCGCTAGACAGAGGGTCTTCCGCACTTATCAAGGTCCATGTGATGAAATCATAAGACAAATAAATAGGCCCCAGAGCAAATTCAAACTGAACTGTTCCTAGAAGCCATTATGACTAAACTGACATGGTATTGTTTGAAACGTAAATGAGAAGACATGACTCACTAGACAAGACAATAATGTTTGGTAAAGTGGAGGACAGTAGAAAAACAGAAAAATCTACTTCCTGATTAATAGACTCTTAACAATGAAACCATGGCCTTGAGTTGCAGTACCTGAGCAAGGCTGTCAAGGACTGTGTGACTCGGAAGTTTCTCATTCATAGGGTCACCATGAATCAAAGTCAACTTGACAACAATTAGCAACACAGCAACAGTAGAAGCAACATCTGCAGGGTTCCCACTTTACGTTCCTTATTTGAGTATTGGGAATGGAATAAAAACAGATATTAATTGTGCAGGTACAACTGTACCAGGAGCTCCAATTTTGTTTGCTTTGCATTGAATGTTTGTTGTAGTCCTAAGTTTCAGGGACTCTGCAGATTGGTGGCTTCTTTTGGCTGCAATCATAGGGCAAGCCACCTGTCAATTATCGTTAGATTCCCTGGTTCTGCCCCCTTTTGGGTTTTGGAGGGAATAGGAGCCATTTTGGGTTAGTCCACACAGGGAAGCCTTTCATACAGGACATAAAACCAAGAGCTTCTGTGGAAAGCTTTGTCTTCTACAGCTTGGCCGGGGAGAAAAGGGCCCACAGCTTGGCTGGGGAGATATACAGCTCTACGGCTTGGCCGGGAGATATATAGCCTTACAGCTCCTTTGCTGAGGGAATCCGGTCCCACAGCACTTCAGCCAGCCATCACTGAAACCTGAACCCCTTTTCCCCTGGAGGTCTACAGAGCTCTGCTTGGTAAGGGTCACTCGCGGAAGCCAGAAGCAGTTGGTACCGGGTGCAGGGGCTCCACGCCAACAGAGGCAAAGACAGACTGCCCAGATTAGAAGTTAAGAATTTCCCCATTAGCTAAAATACAGTTATGAAGATAGTGCCTGTTCCCTGTGGACAAGATTCAGAGAGAGCCAATAAAGAAAGCCTTAAAGTACCTGTTTGTTTTCAATAATAAAGAACTTTGTTGAACCTTTAAGCAATCTAAAGACTCTGTTTTAAGGAAATCCAAAGGCCTTTAATCTGAGGCAGCCCCGGCGTTCCGTTGGGCACAAAGAATTTATGTCCTGTCTACAGTCTTATGAACAGGCCCAGCGTGCGACAGCACATTAATGCTTGGCTAGTTCTTCCATTGTTTTTAGATTGCAAATCTATGCTTGATAACTTGGAATCAAGCCTCCATTTCCCCAAGTAACGTTGACAGGATTGGAACTATAATCTCTTTCATAACATTCACTCAGGCCCCTTCTACACTGCCATATAATCCAGATTATCAAAGCAGATAATCTACATTATCTGCTTTGAACTATATTATATGAGTCTACATTGCCATATAATCCAGTTTGAAGCAGACAATCTGGATTTTATATGGCAGTGTAGAAGGGGCCTCAGTATTCATCTCAAACACTTGTATCCTAAACAACCTTTTTGCTTTGTTGTTGTTCTTGTTTCAGATTGCACCACAGCTCTCCTTTCCCAGAACGGCATCTAAGCTTCCTGCTCTTCTCAAGACAATGGGGGTGGATGGTGAAAATGCCGTTCTAAGGAATATTCTGGTTGGTCTCAACTTAATGCTGCTTGGCTCCATCTTTAAGCCTTTTGAGTGCCGCCTTGAAGTGATGACAGAGAGAGTCAAAAGACAAGTGGCTGATGAGGAAGGCAACTTTGTCAACTACACAACACCTATCAAAGAGCAACCTATGGTTTTCAGCCATATATATAACATTAATGTGCCTCTGGACAGCCTCTGTTCAACTTCACTAGAGGCTTCATCTGGCACAGAGGTGAGTTCAGAAGATGACCGGATGACAGAATACACGGAGCAGACTTCTGACAGTGAGAGCCAAGTCACCTTTACGCACAGGATAAACCTTCCCAAACAGACTTGCAAGTGTGTCGCCTCCTCCCGGGACATGCAGGAGCTGCTGAGCAGAATTGAGATGCTGGAGAGGGAGGTGTCCATGCTCCGGGACCAATGCAACTCCAATTGCTGCCAAGACAATGCAGCCACAGGTAGTAGCTTGTGCCTTGGGTTCTTACTGAGAACTAGGACATGTCAGAGGAGGAATAATAACATGGAGTCATTTGCTTAGTGAAATAAAGTTAGGTTGTGAAATCATAATTTGTCTAAGGATAGAAAGGATCATAATTTGTCTAAGGATAGATAGAAACAACAATTTTGGCTGAAAGTTGCACTTCTGCACATCCCTCAAGCATCTATACATTTCCAAATGTGTCAATTGCAGGAAAAGTACACACAAAATGACTTTTATCTTTTAAAATCTGAATGGCTAGAATGTGTATAATTGGGGAAAATATTCACAAATATTTTGCTCAGTGGGGGGAGAAACTCCATGAATTAGATAAATTGTGCAAAATAAATGTGACTATGCGGAGAAAAGCTTAAGTGCTAGAAGTAGCCACAGTGCTTCAAAATCCTATAGAAAACAAAAGAGGAAACAGGAGAAATTGAACACGATTGAAACAGATATTTTCACATCATATTTGTCACACAAATTGCATGAGTCCAAAAAGACTTATTATTTTATTTTGATTTCGAGTACTTCTACCTCGCACTTCTCAACCCCCGGAGGGGGACTCAGGGCGGCTTACAAAAGCCACAATTCGATGCCTACACAATAATACAAATAACGTATAAAACAGCAATTAAAACAGTTATAACAGCTGAAACAATCAATATATAACATAATCAGTAACACTAATCTCATGCTCCGCGTTCGCCATTCAGAGTCCATAGCTTCATTCCACTTTGTCCATTCCTATCAGTCGTCGTAGTCCTTTATTTATCTGCCAGATTGCCCAAACGCCTGGTCCCAAATCCATGTTTTTAATTTCCTTCTAAAGGAAAGGAGGGATGTCACTGATCTAATTTCCCCGGGGAGTGAATTCCATAGGTGAGGGGCCACCACCGAGAAGGCCCTGCTCCTTGTCCCCGCCAATCTCACTTGTGATAGAGGCGGGGCCAAGAGCAGGGCCTCTCCAGAAAATCTTAGACTGAGGTGGGACGTAGAGGGAGATCCGTTCGGACAGATACACTGGGCCGGAACCGTATAGGGTTTTGTAGGTCAAAACCAGCAAAAACTTGATCCCAATTACATATGACTCCTAGTTACAAACGGAGGTGAGACGACAGGAAGTGAGAGGAAATCTACTCCTAAAAAGGGAAATTCACGCCTGTAAGTTACCCATGGGGAAAAGGTATCTCCACTGAAGTTTTATCTCTGAACCTTTTTTCCATTCCAACTCAAAATTTTCACAGCAATAGAAAGTAAGGTAAAATCTTCTGAACAGAGGCTCAGACAGCAAAACAAATGCCACGGTAGTAATGACCTTTCCCTATGCTATCCAAAACTTTTTTAAAAAATTAAGTTTCATACACATTCAACTTACATACACACCTACAGAACCTATCTTGTTCATAATTCAAGGACTGCCTATATAATACTTCTGATTTATTTTAAAGATGGAAACTTTTGTATGAGCTACAGTTGTGTATAGAAAACAGGTACAAATCTTTAATCTTTCATATCTCCTAAAATCAAAAGTCCAACTGTGTGTGTGTGTGTGTGTTTTAAACCAGGGGTCCTCAAACTAAGACCCGGGAGCCGGATGCGGCCCTCCAAGGTCATTTACCTGGCCCTTGCTCAGGGTCAATCTAAGCCTGAAAAGACTTGCAAGCACACAACAACAACAACAACAACAACAACAACAATAACTCTATCTCATCAGCCAAAAGTAGGCCCACACTTCCTACTGAAATGCTAATAAGTTTATATTTGTTAAAATTGTTCTTCATTTTAATTATTGTATTGTTTTTAAGTGGTTTTTTGCACTACAAATAAGATATCTGCAGTGTGCATAGGAATTCATTCATTTTTTTGCAAATGATAATCTGGCCCTCCAACAGTTTGAGGGGCTGTGACCTGGCCCTTTGTTTAAAAAGTTTGAGGACCCCTGCTTCAAACACTCAGCAGAGTACATGATGCAACTTACAAAAGAAGACCCAATCCAATTCATCATCACATTTACAGGCAATCTTAGCTAGGAACAACTTCCTACTGTCAGTGATGGGTATTTTCTCCCTACCATATCCCTGCCCCCTCCCCCAAATGTTTTAGATCACCCCAGGTCATTCTTGGGGAAGTGTTGTGGCTACAACGCCCCACCCCATTATGCTACATCCAGGACATTCAAAATTGTGGGGCAAGAGAGTAACAGTCAAAGCAATCCAGAATTTTAAGTCCATAAACCTTTCCCATTCCTCAGCCTTCCCGGAGTTCCCCATCACACAGACCATTGAAGCTGAAAGTTTTGAAGCAAGAATGTTGTGTCCAGATCAGCCTTCATTTTGAACCCAGTATTCCTTTGTGTATGGGAAGTTGTCGCCAAGTTCTTACTGTGTTTGGGAGACAGAAATTTGAAGATGATTCAAAAATATTTGAGAAGCAAAAAATCTGAACACTAGAGACTATCCGTGTTCAGATAGGAAATCATGGGGACAATGCAGGAGCATATCAGAAAGGTATGTTTTCCAGCAGGTGATGAACAAGCAGGTGATGCGGACAATGCAGGACAGATTTGCCCCGATGCCCAACCATTTGCCCCATTGTCCTCCGCATCAAGGACCTCCATGTGATGAGGTCCTTAGAGTGCAAACACACTTTCTCCCTGTCCATCATTATTTATTTATTTGTTTATTTAAAACATTTATATTCCACCCTTCTCATCCCAAAGGGGACTCAGGGCGGAGCACAGCATATATATGGCAAACATTCAATGCCGGGACACAAATTCTTATATACATACATAAACATTAAAAACATTTATCAAAATATTAAAATACACCATTTAAAACCGTCCTAGTCATCCACGTCAAATCTAATTGGCCTGGTAATCTTTCCTGTTGCTGCTTTATTGCCCTGTCCCAAAAGCTTGGTCTCACAGCCAAGTTTTTACCATCCTTCTAAAGGACAGGAGAGAGGGGGCCAACCTGATCTCACCCGGAAGGGAGTTCCATAGCCGGGGAGCAATAACCGAGAAGACCCTGTCTCTCGTCCCCACCAATCGTGCCTGTGACAATGGTGGGACGGAAAGCAGGGCCTCCCCGAAGGATCATAATCTCTGTGGTGGTTTATAGGGAGAGATGCGTTCAGACAGGTTCGGCTTGATGTAATCTCAACAACATCAATAAGTCAGCTGATTGAACCAAAAAGCACTTGGTCTGTGAAGTATCTTTTCTCAACTAAGGAGTCAACACCAGCATGACTCTGAAAGGAATTGAAAATTTAGACACACACTGCAAGAAAGGAAGGAATCCCAGCCACCGATGAGATTAATGCACTGAAAGTAATTAGAATCTTAGAGTTGGAAGAGATCACAAGGGCCATCCAGTCCAACCTCCTGCTAGTTACATGTATACCTCACTTAGTAGAATAGATGAGTTCCTGGACATTAACACAGGTAGAAATCACATGGAAAGAATAAGGAAAAATGTATTGTCGAGGGCTTTCATGGCTGGAATCACTGGGTTGTTGTAGTTTTTTTCGGGCTTCTCTGTGTAGTCTGATGTGGTGGTTGTGAGAGTGGTCCAGCATTTCTGTGTTCTCAAATAAAATGCTGTGTCCAGGTTGGTTCATCAGGTGCTCTGCTATGGTTGACTTCTCTGGCTGAAGTAGTCTGCAGTGCCTTTCGTGTTCCTTGATTCGTGTTTGGGCAATGCTGCATTTGGTGGTCCCTATGTAGACTTGTCCACAGCTGCATGGTATATGGTAGACTCCTGCAGAAGTGAGAGGATCCCTCTTGTCCTTTGCTGAACATAGCATTTGTTGGATTTTCTTGGTGGGTCTGTAGATAGTTTGTATGTTGTGTTTCCTCATCAGCTTCCCTATGCGGTCAGTGGTTCCCTTGATGTATGGCAAGAACACTTTTTCTCTGGGTGGATCTTCATCTTTATTCTCGTGGCTTGTTCTTGGTCTTGCAGCTCTTCTGATGTCTGAGGTGGAGTATCCATTGGCCTGTAGAGCCCAGTTGAGGTGGTTCAGTTCATCTTGGAGGAGGTGGGGTTCGCAGATTTTTTTGACCGCATAGGGAAGCTGATGAGGAAACACAACATACAAACTATCTACAGACCCACCAAGAAAATCCAACAAATGCTACGTTCAGCAAAGGACAAGAGGGATCCTCTCGCTTCTGCAGGAGTCTACCGTATACCATGCAGCTGTGGATAAGTCTACATAGGGACCGCCAAATGCAGCATTGCCCAAACACAAATCAAGGAACATGAAAGGCACTGCAGACTACTTCAACCAGAGAAGTCAGCCATAGCAGAGCACCTGATGAACCAACCTGGACACAGCATTTTATTTGAGAACACAGAAATGCTGGACCACTCTCACAACCACCATGTCAGACTACACAGAGAAGCCATTGAAATCCACAAGCATGTGGACAATTTCAACAGAAAGGAGGAAACCATGAAAATGAACAAAATCTGGCTACCAGTATTTTAAAAAACTCTAAAATTGAACAGCACAACAACAGAGAGGAAGCAGGCAGGGAATCTAATTACCTCTCAATAAAAGTTTGCCCCAGGCACAGTCAGGCCATTGTATGCTAATCAAGGTGGTCAGTTGAAACATTCACACCTAGCTCTAGCAGACAAGGATCTTTTGTCTCACCCTGGTCATTCCACAGATATATAAACCCTTTTGCCTAGTTCCAACAGACCTCACTACCTCTGAGGATGCTTGTCATAGATGCAGCCAAAACGTCAGGAGAAAATGCCTCTAGACCATGGCCATATAGCCCGAAAAAACCTACAACCCAATAAGGAAAAACATTTGTATCTCAAAAAAGAGACGTTCAACATATTTCAGGAAAAAAGTTACCAAAATTAATATGTGCATGTGAAATGAAATAGCTTGGTCAGATTAGCTTTGTATAAGTAAAGAAAAACATTTGGGATCTTCTAGAGACCACTTGAAAGCATCTTC